CAGGGACAGGAGCTGTGAAGGGAAGGGACCAGAGACTGGGGGCATCAGTGGCCCTTCTAGCTTTCTGAGTCATCATATCACAGCAGACTTGGAAGGAGTTGGCAGATCAGCCCTGACAGAGGAGCTGGGCGTGTTGAAGAGTGAAGGTTCCTGCCTGCAGCCTGATGTCAGCCAAGCAGGCTCTGGGAAGCCCTTGGAGAGACGTACAGGCAGCTAAAGCCACGCACACCCACAGATGGACTGGCCACATCAAACCTCAAAGAGTCGGGCAGGAGGGTATATCAGAAAGTCTGAAGGATGAGTTTGACCCGGACTACAGGTTGATCGAGCCAAGGCAGCTAAGCCAGTGAAGAAAGGAGCTCCAAAGGAGTGAGTGTTGGTGCAATGGCCTGCGGTAAGTGGAGGAGGCGGGTGACATCCGGGAGCTCATCTGGGAATGCCTTTAAGCCTGCTGGGAAAAGATAGGAGAGAAAGTAGGTACTCTGGGGTCCAAGGGTCACAAGGGTCACAGCATTAAGGAGTCACACCAGCAGTAGGGCCAAACCTTAACTGCGAGAAGAAAAGACATGTAGAGAAACTCAAGGAGCTCAAAGAACCAGGCAGGACAGCGTCAGGGGAGCAGTGGATAACAGAGTGCTGGAGGAGGCAGAGCAAGCCCAAGAGGTCGCAGGAACCAGCAGAGCAGCTTCATGGGGCTCGGGCAGGTAAGAGTCTGACTGGACAGAGAAACCCCAGTTGTCATAGGGCTGAGGGGTGTGCAAGCATAGGTCACCAAGCTGAACTGCACACAGGATCTAAGGTGAATGGGAATGTTCGGGGTCTAAGGCTCAACAGCTACACAGGGCTGGGTAGATAGGAGGGTTAGGGGGTCAGATCATCGCCAGGAGCACCAGAGGCCAAGCTTGGCAGATAAAGCTAACCTGGGGCAGGCAGCTGTATTGGGGACCAAACTGAGCAGATAGAGAAGAATTGGGGCAGGTGTAGTTAGAGATGGGGGACACAGGCTGACCAGCACATGTCAACGGAGACTGATAGAAGTGCTGGGGTTCAAGGAATTCCAAGAAGTTCAGTGGACTGGGCTGAGGTACACATGAAAATTAGGACAAATGGAATATTAGGAACTTAGTTCATCTCCCAGGACCTTAGGGAATCAGGCTGATTGGCAAAGGGGAACTGAGGCACATGGCAGAGCTATGAGGAGGCACAGGAAAGTCCCAGGATTCTGGAGATGAGTCCTATCAGCTACAGAGGAACTGGAAAAGGGAAGGATGGTGAAACAGGCTGAGCATCACAGGGAAGCTGAGAGAGAGAGTACATCACAGGGAGTACTGGAGCTACCTGGGTAACCACAGGAATTCAGTACTGAGACAAAATCAATGAGGATGGACCAGGGATAAACGGGAATGCTGGGTGCCTAGGATAGCCCCAAGAGCTTAGGAAACCAGGTTGAGCAGCTACAGGGGAGCTGAGGCAGGAGGATGTGCAGGGAGCCAGAAGGAGCAGCTACA